CAGTTCTTCAAGGCTGTGCGGAAGGCCTGGACGGTGGTGAGGGTACGAATCTCCACGGGATGAAACGGCTCGTGAAGAACGAGAAGAGGAACGGATCGGTTAAAAAAAAAAAGGGTTGGGAAAAAGGAAACCGATCTTTTGGACAAAGCTACGTACGCTGGAGCGGAACCGAGTCGAGCGAGGTGGCCGAGGCCTGCTGCACGTCCGGTGTTCGAGCCGACTCCCTTCCGTGGGCAGTTCGAAAAGCCCGTCGAAGGAGGCGCTGTGCGAATAGGAATACGGTGCGTTGCCAACCAGGGAGATCCATCCGAGTGGGGAGTTCATATTAGCGGCTGTGAGGTCGCTCTCCTGCTCCGATCCACCTACAAAAATGGAGAGACGTCGTCATGTCGTTGCCGTCGAGGCACCGCCGGACTGGATTCGATTTTACAACGGTCGTTCCGTGAATCTCACGGAAAGAATATCCAACTGGCGGTTTCGGGTCAATTATTTTTTTGCCCCAAAAGAAAACTTTTAGGTAGGCGAACAGGTGATTTTGCGCTCAAATTAAACCCAGTTTCAAAGTCGACACGCCTTTTTCATTGCATGCATGCAGGCAGTCCTCGACTTACGACCACAACAGAGCCGGCAAATTTGCGTTTCGCTAAGCGAAACGTGTGTTAAGTGAGTTTCTCCCCCGTTTTGAGGCCTTCCTTGCCACCGTTGTTAAGGGAATCACCATATTTGATAAGTGAGTCACATGGTTGTTAAGTGGATCAGTTTTCCCCATTGGCTTCACTTGTCGGAAGGTCGCACAAGGGAATCACGTAACCCTGCGACCTGGGACCGTCATAAATATGAGCCAGTTACGAAAGGTCTGAATTGTGATGACATGACCACGGGGAACGCTGCAATGGTCACGAGTGCGAAAAATCGCCCAGTCGTAACTTTGATCGCTACATGAATGGTCGTAACTCGAGGACTGCCTCTATGGATTTAAGAAGAGCAGCTAGAAAAATCGTTGTTGAACTCACTAATGAAGGCAGAAGCGGGCCGGATCCTGCGGCAGTTCTTCTGTCTCTTGATAGCCATGGTGTCCTGCAGGAGAGAACATAGAATAGTAGAGTTGGAAGGGACCTCAGAGGTCTTCTAGTCCAACCCACTGCTTGAGCAGGAGACTGTATACCAATGGTGGGTTGCAGATGCTCCTTACCTGTGTTTGAGCTCTTCGGCGCTTCCGCGCGCACACAAGGAGCGCACGGCACCTGCGCGACGCATTGCCAAGCCGCTGGAGCATTGTGGCGGCTCGCGCATGCACGCACCTTCCGGCCTTCCGGAGGGTGTGAGGCGTGGCACGACAAAACCGCGCTCGACTAAAGCGCGCCCGATTAAACCGCGTCGCTGACNCTGTATATATATATGTGTGTGTGTGTGTGTGTGTGTGTGTGTGATGTTTGTGTGTGTGTGTGTGTGTGTGTGTGTGTGTATGTTGTATTTGTGCTGATAAATGTATTTATTTATCAGCACAAATACAACACAAATGTAACAAAGGCAACAGTAACAGCTTTCTGTCTGGATGGTCTCTTGTGATGGGCCGATAGACAGAGAAAGGAAGCAGTATGCCTCCTCCCATATTTGGGCATTTTTACATTTTCCAGGATGGCCCCACAGACTAGATCCAGCCCGCAGGCCTTGAGTTTGACACCTCTGGCCTAGTGCTATTATGGCTGTTAATCTCTTTTGATCTGGTTGTTGTTGATGTTTTGGTCTTTCTATTTCCTTTTCAGCTTTTTGATTGTCTCTTTTGAATGGCATGTAGATGTTGTTTATCTCTACTTGTCTGTTGATGGCTGATTTGATCCCTATCCCAGCCCTGAGCTACAAATATTCTATTAGCACAACCTTGTGAACCAAGTTGCACTGAGAGCTGGCGAAAGGCACCCTGTGGGCTGGCAGAGAGTAGATTCTCTGCTCGTGACTTTTCATGGTTCAATGTCAACTATTCAAATAATAAACTAAACTCCAACCCCTTTGTCTTTTTTCTTTAAAACAGCACAATGGAGGAACTTAAATTGAGGAGCTGCATTGGGATGACCCGTTTAACCATAAATTACCTAATTCACCGCACTGTCTGGCTTCATACATCACAGGGAATTATAATTGAATTGCATACTTTATTTGTAAGACTTTATTTATAAGCTAAGCACACAGACTAACGTGACACAACCCGCTAGTATAAAATGGAATTGGCACATTTTGATTCCAGTCTGACGTGCTACTAGATGACAAGGAATCACAAGCTCCAAAGGCCTTGAGTTTCACAATCCAACATCCCATTAAATTATTGCCCAAGGATAAACATGCACCTCACATCCGTTCTGAATGTACATTAGAAGAAGGCTTGCAAGCAGTGTGGGATATCGACATTGTACGGCTGATAGCAGAAGAATATAAAAACTATTTTATATCCTCTATCATTTCAGACAAATGGTTGTCTAGTCCCTTTTTGAAAGTCTCCAGTGATGGAACATCCACAACTTCTGAAGGCAAGCCATTCTGTGGTCCCAAAGGTTTTTCTTCAGGACTTTCCTGTTTTTTTTCCTTTTGAAGACATTTTGCTTTCTTATCCAAGAAACTTCTTCAGCTCTGACTCTAGGGTTTTTTCTCTAAAGGGTTAGGAGTGCAAGGGTCTTGTAACTTGACAGTTTTAAGACTTGCACACTTCAATGCCAGAGTTCNAGGAAATTTCTCCTCAGTTCTAAGTTGCTTCTCTCCTTGATTAGTTTCCACCCATTGCTTCTTGTCCTGCCCTCAGGTGCCTTGGAGAATAGTTTATAGCAATAGCAGTTAGACCTATATACCGCTTCATAGGGCTTTCAGCCCTCTCTAAGCGGTTTACAGAGTCAGCATATTGCCCCCCAAAATCCGGGTCCTCATTTTTCCCACCTCGGAAGGATGGAAGGCTGAGTCAACCTTGAGCCGGTGAGATTTGAACCGCTGAAGTGCAGAACAGCTGAACTGCAGTCAGCTGAAGTAGCCTGCAGTGCTGCACTCTAACCACTGCGCCACCTCGGTTTGACTCCCTCTTCTTTGGGGCAGCCCCTGCTACTGGTGCAGGCGAATCGGTCTGAACTGGATAAATACCACCTCTGGTGTTAAGTGAATCAACACCATGGTTAATAAGTTAGTCACATGGTTGTTAAGTGAATCTGTTTTCCCCCTGGGTTTTGCCTGTCAGAAGGTCGTAAAAGGGGATTGACACGACCGAGGGACATTGCAAGCGTCATAAACATGAGGTAGTTGCCAAGTGTCGGAATTTTGATCATGTGTCCCCCGGAGATACCGCTATTGTTGTAAGGGCGAAAAACCGTCCTAAGTTTGTGACGTTGTAGCTTCGAATGATCGCTAAACAAATGGTCACAAGTCAAGGACTAACTATAATTTGATTTAAAGGGGAGGGAACAACAGTTCGCCATCCTGTGACAGAGGTTGGATAGAACGTGGTTTTAAAAAAGCAACAACAACAAAAATACGTTTTGTTTGACAATGGCTTCGTTTTTACACACAAACATAACAACTGAAGAGATTCCATAATTGTAATTTATGTGGTGTCAGCGCTGATCTCGTGTTTTCCCCCACCTCAAAATCCTCCTGCAGATATGAATAAAATGAGGCACCGGAGGATTTACTCAAGTGTTATTTCCTGTAGTTTCTCTTGTGAAACATGTTCTTAAGATACTTAGAATGGCTGCAGATCTCCGAGTATTAGCATTAGGCGTTTTCTCTGAATTGTACTTCCAGATATAAATATATATTTTTCCCACATCGTGCATAAACTGGAATGCATCTGTACATAAAGAATGTTCTGGGGTTTTTTTTACACACTTCCTCTACTGTTTTTACTCATTTTAGGGCACTGGTTCTTTGGTTCTAATCTAAAGCGTTATATTCAGTGGTGGGATTCAGCCAATTTGCACCNACATACTCCCATCAGGAAAAAAAAAAAATCTCCATCCTGGAGTCAAATCTGATTTTTCTATCTTTGCAAGGAAGAGGCCGGGGGCTGTGGAAATCACTCCAGGGGCTTCAAAAGGATCGTAATTAGTCTCTCCTGCTACTTAAACCAGGAAAAAAAAAACAGCAGCAAATTTGGAGAGGGAAGGCGTGCGATATTTACAAAGGTCTCTGCTGCTTGCTTGCTTGTTCTTCTGGCTGGAGAGTCTGTTAAATTCTCAATTTGTGCTGTTCACACTTGGGGAAGGAGGAAAGAGAGAGAGAGAGAGACAACTGGAGGGAGAGAATTGTGTGTAACGATGTGCGTCTTTGCGATTCCTCCCAAAAATCAAAATCCTCAGAGATGTGACGGCAACGGAGAGGGCAGCAGAAGCCGGACTGAAAAGAGGACTCAGGAGCAGGAATGTCCAATTCTCCACAACCTCAGTGTGCTTTGTGTTTCCCCTTTTTGTGTTTTTTGTCCTTCTTTTTGCTCGCGCACCTGGAGCAGAACCACTGTATCTCTTCCGGGGGAGCAGCCGTGATGCCGACGCAGGGCCTGCGAGGGAAAAGGAGAAAGGGGTGAACGATGGCGGGAGGAGGAGAACGCATCCTTGCAAATTTTTAACAGGATTAAACAGCCGCAGGTCGTCCTCGACTTACGGCCACAGCGTAGCCCCTATATTTCGGGTGCTAAGCGGAGATGGCCGTTAAGTGAGCCTTGACACGTTTTACGACCTTTCTCCCCATGGGTGTTCAGCAGGGGTGATTTTCACTTACCTTCCCTACCGATTTGCAAATGTGTGTGCATACACGCACAAGCTTCTCTTGCACGCGCCCTGTCCACACATGCGCCCCACCTTCAGTGCATGCGCTTTGCTCAAAAAACAGATGGAATAGAGCCAGGATGGGTGGGCAGGCCCACCCGCAATTTACAATACAATACAATAGTAGAGTTGGAAGGGACCTTGGAGGTCTTCTAGTCCAACCCCCTGCCTAGGCAGAAA